ACATGGATATCAGAAGCAAGGAGAGGCAACATAGGACGACTACAGAGATGCTGTTCACCAACATAGTGAGAACATTCGTGCAGCCAAAGCTTGATTAGAGTTCAAGCTGGCTAGTACTTTGAAGGACAACAAAAAGGGCTTCTTAAAATATGTTAACAGCAAAAGGAGGCAATGATATCAGAGATGATAACATTGCTCCCTTACTTGAGGTCGGTCACCTCACAAATAGACATAAACAAAGCAGAGAGGTTTAATGCCTTCTCACCTCTGTCTTTAACGCCGATAATGGACCCTGGAGCCCTGTGTTGGAAGGCTGTGACTGAGGGGATGATAAACTCTGAATTTGTTTGAGACTTGCTGCTCCAGCTGGAGGCACATAAGTCTATGGGGCCTGGTGGGATTCATCCCAGGCTGCTCAAAGAGATGGCCAATGTCATCGCGGGACCTCCCTCCATTATTTTTCAGTGGAATCTGGAGAGGCCCCAGATGACTGACTGTATTTCCCCGTGCAGGGTATTTTGTACCATTTTATACTGATTTGAGATAGATCGTATTTTGGTATTTTAGAATTTCCCGTCAGACAGACATTCAATATGGCTCATGTCTCCCAGCACTCAGAAAGGCTGTATGATTTATATGTATGTAATTAGTGGAAAATCTGTGGAGATCAATTCAATTAGAAATACCACAGATGACGGAACATACACAAGTTGAATCTCAAGGGAATTTGATCAAGTTCTTGGGAATAATGTAATGCTTTACAAGCAAGGAGATAAAATAATTCTCAACTGCAGCTCAAATCTGGCTTTTCAAATCTTGTTTCTGGGAGGTGCTGACTGTTGCACATGAATTGACAAATAACCTATGCTCTCAGGTATTAAAAATCTTAGCAACTGACATTTGTATACCCAGCTACTGAATCTGAGTAGTAGAGCGATCTGTGATTTGCAGTTTTCTGTGGTTAGTCCATGTCATGCTAGTCCTTACAAAATTATCAGAATTATTATTTGCATTTATTTAAAACTAAATGATAGAATGCAAAATAATGACAGAAGTACTGCACTCTGTTAATGTACTTTGTTAATTGGTGAAAAATAATTTGTTTTGGTAATAACACTCAGCTCTCAACTTTTTTATAATCCTCATATCTGCCTAAGAAATCTCCTGAGATAATTTATATCCTGGATTGGACAAATTACAAAGTGTTTCCTGGTTTCCATTTCTAACTTGTTGCTTTTTTGTCTGACATATTCTGAAATAATGTAAAAATACTTTAATCCCTTTTTCTATGAGTTATTAATGTGTTGCTTCACGTACTATCATATATCATATCTCCTCATCTTTGTTTGAAAGGCAAAAGAAGAGCTAAGAAATTGTCTGCATCTTTTGTAAATTAATGCACACCAAGCTTCCCTGTTATCTTAGGAAGTTAGTGTGGTAGTCAAGCAAAAACAGCTGTAGTTTGGTTTTTACTATGGTAACATTAAACTTGAAAGAATTATGTCAACCTCAGCATCAAGCCCCCTCAAACATCCTCAGTATTCTGAGCCCTATCTAATTTTTCTATCCTAATTTTGCAGTCTGCCCTTTGCATGAAGAGACAGGTTGGAAAATACATGCATTCTGTCAGCTGCCTAATGACTTCCTAATCACTCTTTCATGTTAACTGTGCCACTAGAATTTCCCTCTTTTATGCTGAAGTGATCTGCATTTAAACAAGTCTTAGTAAGACTACCTGACAGGTGAAGCACTGTATAAAATTATACCTATTTGGTTATAGGTAGTATTCTTTTCTGCAGAATTTTTAGCCAAAAATGTGTGATTTCCAAGTTTCTTTTGTAAACTGGCATCACATGCTGTGCAGATGAAGAAGCCCTGTTTAATTAATCCCTGAATTATGAATCAGGGTCTAAGGGTTGTTTTATAGCTCTGTGCACACATGTCCATAATGTGCTCTAAAAAACAATTTAGTTAGTCTTTTTGATGTAGCGGTTTCATTTGGACCTTGAAGGACTTTTCTCCTGTGAATATAACTGTTTCAGAACCTGTGGCGTCCATAATGTCCTATGCCTGTCAGTGCCACAAACTCATAATGAGATGTATGGAAAAGGACTTCTTTTTCTGGGGGTGCGGTTTAAAAATGTTACTTGACCATTTTATCAGGTAATCATTAAATCCTGTGTTACAAGAAGCGAATTCACTAGGCGCTTTTACCACAACATTTAAGTCAATTTGTGTGTGTGACTTTAGACAGTCTCTCTCTGTATAAAAGTTGTTCCCTGCTGCTGAAGATATTTGTCACTTTTCTCTGTAGCTTTTCTGGTTCTACAGTGCTTTTTTTTTGCAATGAGCTGACCAGAACTGCAGCTGGTATCAAAGTTGGGAATGGTAGCATAACGATACTTTCTGGTTTCGTTTTGACTACTTTCATTGTAACTCCTAACATTCCATTTGCCTTTCTAACTGCTGTTGAGGTTTAAAATGGCATTTTTTAGAGGGCTGTGTACAATGTCTAAGCTTTTTTTCTGGAGATAATTTAGACAATCATTATGTGTACACAAAATTAGAGTTGTTTTTGTCTGTGTATATTACTTTGCTTGCATCAGCATTTAATTTCATCTGCCATTTTATGTCCAGTCATTACGCAAGCCTTCTGTTCATTGCCAGAGTTAAATTTGCATGCTGGGTAATTTCATATCACTGGCAACATTACAGCAAAATTTTACTCATTTTTTCAGACTTTGGCTTTTGTCTTTAGTGCAGATATGTATTTGATCTCATCCTACACAAAAGTGGGATACAATGTATGCAAATGAGCAAACAAATGAAATGAGGAGGAAATGGTTAGGGATTTTTTTAATTTTCTACTGAAACTTGTTATATCTTTTTATTGTCTCTTTGCCCTGTTGAAACTAATTGCTTTCAAATTGTGGTTTAAAGGCTATCTTTTTGTTTGTCTGAGAGGCTGATTATGGTGATGTCATTCCAAATATTTGCAGAATTTAGGTCTTAGATGTAGTTATGTAAGACATGTCTTAAATAAAATGTTAATAAAATAATAATGTTACTGAAATTGATCCAGAAGAATGCCCCTTTATTGGGTTTTGCCCCTTTGTGCAAAGATCTGTAGAGGGTGAAGAAACAGTCTGAAAATTTTACCTCTCTGTATTTTGGAATATTACCAGTATACATTTGAATACAGTAATTATTAAGTGAAAGTATGTGAACTGCTTTTGGTAATTAGATTATAATGATCCTTTGACTTTTGTATAATATATTCATATAGCAGTGCAGCACAATGAGTAAGTACTTGTGGGCCTCCCTGCTTAGACAGTGATGTAAATCTTCCAAGCAACCTGATCCTATGAGTTTTTCAGTGGTGCAAATAATCTCAAAGCTCAGAATTTTAAACAAACATTCTAACTACTCCAACTTTAATGAGCTGACAGTATGCTAATTTAAGTAATAATTGTTTTCTAATTTTATACTCAATTTCTTATACTATTTAAAAAGAAATTCAATGCTGAGACAATGTTCTTTTTATTTGATCATAGATTCAGCTGCTTTGCCACAGAGGACAGCTTTGTATTGAGTTCTGCAAATGGATACTGGTTCTTAGCAGTCAATGAACCAAAGTGAATTAAAAGAATGCCTCTTGATTTTAGTGAGCTCTGCTTCAAGTTTATGATGGAACACATGGACATTACTGGTGAAAATGAGTCTGGAATTACTGAACTATACTAATGTACAGAAGTTAAATTTCACTGTATTCTTTTTCACATTTTTGAAAGCCCATAGATTTACCAAATAATGTTGAACTAGCAACACATATACTAGCAGTGTATACTTTTTTATTACTGTTTAAAGAAAACAACCAAAAAACTCAGTAAAACATTGTCTGAAGGTCTTGCTCAAAAGCTCATTGGGTCTGATAAAAAGTGTACTTTGTACACTTTGGATGAACATCAGACATTGAATCAGAGGCTGAATGATTATCAGAGGAAGAGCACAGGCTGATAGACAAAGTGCGATAACCTTGTGGGTTCAAATGAGACACTAGTGGCTTGGCATCTAGAATGTATTCTGCTATGCTAAAAGTGAAAAACAGAGTGCACAGCAGCATTTTGACAGGGTGATATTTCATTGTACTATGCAGAGAGTGAAAGTTATACAAATCTGAAAAAACCTTTCTAAGATTCAGTATCCTCTCAAACCTTACTTCATTCTTGATATGACATTTATTGTATATGGCTCCAGGTCTGGTCCAGGTACCAAAGCTCTTTCATAGGGATTAAGAATGTATTCAAGCACTTTGCTGGACTCAGACTAAAACATCTCATAAAATATTTTTTTTTAATCTTGGAGTCTTTCATTAAAGACGCTAGATCCGGTATTCTTGACAACATAGGAATAGGAATTCCCCATTTGTATTTGTGTAAACCTATTGCCCATACATAACAGTGAAATTCATATTGCATGAAGGTGTGCTTCAGTCAATGGGCTCGTGTATTACAGGCAATATTATATTTAAAACGAACATGAGTTTACTTCATGTCTATGAAAATATGAACAGGAAGTAAAGCTTCCATGAAGCATAGAAGTACAGGCAGATCTATGACCTAAAAAGAGTCTGTATAGCAGCAGATTGAAGTCACTGTACTTCTTTTTTTCAGTTAGGTGAAATAGCCAATATGTAGTATTTATGTTTACTGTAATTTTGCAGACTATAGATGCAGTGTAAGCTTACAATTTAACCTGGACATTGTATATTATTTATTGTGTGCTGGCATGTGTTTAATTTTAAAATGAAACAATACAGTTGCTCTTTATTTTTATTTTATCATTTACCTACAGAAAAATTTTACCAAGTCAAAACCTTACACTATGGCGTCACAGGAGAGGAAAAAAAAGCAAACAATAAAACCCAAACAAACAAACAAAATAAAGAGGGCAGAATGCTGTTTACCATTTATCAGATTAATGCAAACAGTATTTCTCATCTTCAGATCATTTGGACTTTTTTTAGAATTCAATCTAAATCTACACTACAACAAAATAAAAATGCATCCTTCAAGACTGGTTTGTTTCCTCTGGTGAAGGTAGTTTGTCAAGTGCTCCCATCTCTGCAAAGGGTGGGAAAAAAAAAAGAGAATTAACACATAAGTATGCATAAGTATGCATATTAATCTTAGCAATTCAATAATAAAATCCAATTTCAGTAGTATTTTTTTTTCCTCAACTATAAGAGGCAAATCCTTGAACTTTTCATATTTTAACTTATAAACTATTGTGTTTTTTTCTTTTGAATATTAATATCTTCCTGCTATAATGTCATAGTTTTAGAAAAAGCAGTAACAGAATGACAATTAAATTATATCAATTTTATTATATCCATTGATATTGTTCGATCCCAGCATCTCAAAAGTTTTAATACTATCCAATTATGGCAGCCATCCTACAGCCATATGGGCTACATATGGGAAGCCTTTAAAGCTGGAGGGAACAATTTAAGAGAACGAGCTGAAGGTCACTTTTAGTTATTGCCAAGAAACATCTTGTCAGTTAAAATACTCACTTTATCTTGCAGATTGAAATGTATGTCTAATCTGCATAACCATTCCCTGAATCTGAATTCCATGAGTGGGAGTTTCCCCCTCCCCTCAAAGGAACATACCTAAACCAATATGTTTACTGTAGTAAGATTGCTTCAACATTTTTGCTCAAAACAATTGCTACCATAATAAAGTATGCTTTTCATCTCCTAAATCTACAGTTCTGATTTTATGTAAGAGTTTGTACTAGGTCTTGATGATAAATATTGTTAAGGGATAATATGATAACATTCTGTGTCTTTTGAAACCTGGGAATACAAGAACTATCTCAGGGAAAAGCCATTGTATATGATCTGGAGATTCCTGTTTTTTATGAGGACAGATAATACTACCACCTTTTGTGAATATAGACAGCTGCTTGTCATCACTATCCTAAACAAGGAATTGTTAAATTGTTACTTAGACTTACAATAGAGCATTTTTTGCACATTTGTCCCAGGGAAGAAGTAATTTGTATTTCTATGAGATGCATTTTATTTTCTTGCCCAACTTAGCAGCTCTTAGCCTATTCATCAGAGCGCATGCTTGAGCTCAAAACGTTTCACAGCCTTTCTGGTATATCCAGTTATTGGTTTTACTTCCTAGGCTCACACAGCAGGGTAACGGACTGTTTAGGTGCCCTCCTTCTTCACAGTGGCACAATAAACAAGCTACTACTTTGTCCACGGTAAATATACATGCATATATCTACTTTAAATAAATATTTGAATTATCTCAGGCCCTTAGTAATAACCATAAACAGTTTTTGTTTCAAATGCAGAGTTAATTCAATAAACACTGGGTCGATATTTTCAGTAGTGAGAATTATTTTGCTTGGGTGGATGTAAATAATTTAGAAAGTTATGCCAATGAGGTCTAGAATTTTGTTTCCTAGATATGCAGAAAATGAACAGATCCCTTTAAAGTTTCTTTTAATAATACAATACAAATGTAACACACAGTTCTTTGTTACTATTTCACAGCATATACTTGCCACAAAATTGCTTATAATTTGTTGTATACAAAGGTAAGAATATAGAATTTACAGATTTATTGAATTGTCTGCTTTTTGAGACAGAGGATTCCTCAGTCATTTGCAGTAAAAGTAACTTTTTTCCTTCCTGTTGTTTTCTTTGCAAGTATATGTTTGAAAACAGTCCACAAAATGTTCAAAAAGGGCTGAAAAGGTTTTTAAAAGCTCAGAATTGTTTTTTTAAAAAGCAAAAGTGAAGAGAACTCAGAAGCAGCCCCATTTCTTTTTCACCTAATGCTGTAACAAAGTTACCACTATTATAGGATCAGCTGTAAGCTCAGTTATACAATTCTTGTCACAATTTTGGGACTTCACAGAGTTTTTATTAGTAGCATTTTGAGCTGTTTGCCAACGTTCAGCTTAGTGTTGTTACAGGTCCCTTCCAACCCAAAGATTCTATGATTGTAGAATACATGCAGAACGGGAGAGGTATTTCTTTTCTCATTCACAAGGTTTTCAGAATTTCAATCAACTGCTCTTGACATTAAACTGACACCTTATTTAATTTGTTATTGAATTGTTTTATACTAACTCTCATGTAATCAGACTGTATTTAGTTCATTTGCAACTCTTCTAATAGCTGGGTCCATACAATTTTAGTAGAAGCTGTCATTATTGTCACAGTGCCCAGAGAAATCAAATGGTATTCGAAACCTGCTATGTTGGATATTCACTGGATATTCAATCCTGCAGTTTGGCAGGACTACCCACAGTAGGGTACCCTGTCTGAATCAGGCCTATTCCTAAGTGCACTAAAATGGAATTGACAGTTCCTCCCACCACCAGAGATGCTGTTCAAAGTCTTGCATGGTCAAATCTGCAGCAGACTTATACACTCAAGGATAGTCCTATCTTCTCAGTAAATTTCATACCAGAAAGTATGAAAGATTAAAAAGGTGTTCACTAACCTTTAAGGTGCAAGTATGTCAAAAACTCAATTACTGTGCGCACAACGTTTTCATCAGCAAGTGGTCTTCCAAGATTCCCTGTAAAACAAGTTGGTTATTGCTTAATGTTAACATTGCATAAAGGTCTACTGTATGTGACATTGTGGCTAAGTTTAAGAGTACTCTGAAAAAAAGCTACCCGAAACTTCTTTTTCTTTAAAATCCTTAATGGAAAACCTCATTTCATGGAAGAGCAAAGCCACTTTAAGGTAGATAACTGCAAATCTCAGAATCAAATTTGCCCAGTTTTGCATGCTGGTTGCTGTTGCTGCATACGAGCTGCTTTGAAACCTTAATGGTCATGAATGGCCTTTAAGGCCTTATGAGTCTGTTGCAGAAAAGAGTTATCCTCTGTTCTCAACTGTCCCTTTTGTGTCCACTAGTCTGAGATTGAAAGGAAAGGTAAAGTTAGCAAAAAAATTCACAAGCTTTGCAAAACAGTTAAAATTTCTTCATGTAGTCTGACTTTGTTCCAAATAAGTCACTCAAGTGATATAGATGTGATTTGTAGCCTAAAAGCTAGGCTTGGGACTTTAATAAAAGCTCAGAAGGATATGGTTTTGCATAGGTATCTAATACAATATACTCCTCTTTAATCTTGTTGAAGTAGGCCTTTTAATGCTTTTTAAATGGCCCAATTTATCAAGCTCTCTAAGACCTTGTTATTGTACTTTGGGAGGAAGAGAAGAATGCTTTCTCTGTCTATTAAAAAAAAAAAGAAAAAAAAGCAAGATGTCTTCCCTTTTTCATCAACAGGATGGAGAAGTGTTGAATGTTAGAGAACAAATGGTAGATAATTTCCCTAAGATTTTTAGTTCTTTGCATACAGGACAGATGGGTACCATTATCTGACTGACAGTCCATTATTACATCACTGAAAATACCATACTTTGATGTTATCATAGGGGATGTGTTTAATCTGTCTAAAAGACTGACTTTGCAGTGGGTGAATGTTGAGGGAGTTCTTCCATGATGGAAGAGAAGATTTAGGCCTCTAGTGACATACAAGTCAGAAGGCAGACTGAGCTCTGTAGCACAGATAAAAAATATTGATGGGGAGTTATAAGGGACACAGTAGTTTCTGGTATATAGAGAGTCAGCATTTAAGAAATTTGCATCTAAAAGTCTTGTCTCCCAGTCTTTCAACTGACACAAGGACGTTGTTATTATTTACATTAATAGTACTTGTATTATTTGAAGTTTTCCTTAATTTAATCTTTATTACCACATAACCTGTTATGGATTTTTGTTACGATTATTCATTCTTATATTAGTAATTTGACCCAGATTTTGTTACCAATGTGATTACCAGTTGAATAAATGTTTTTCTTTAGCAACTTGAGCTTGTTGTACATGTGTATTTCTATATACTGTGTTATAGACCTTAATTCTGTATAGCAAATTACTTGCAGACTCTAGTAAAGAAACAGTTATGCTCTCAGAATTTAAGGATTTTCCTAATTGTGCTCCTAGATTTATTTTTTTTTCTCCTCTCCTTGACCTAGTGCTCTGTAGCTAATACAACTTACAAGTTCTTCTAGGTTATCTGGAGAGCTTGTGAATTTTGCAGCACTCCTTCAAGAAGAGAAAGCAGTCTTCTGCATGAATTCTTTTACAGCAATAATGTGTATGTATATTGCCATTTTAAGATACTTCTGTAAATAAATCAGCAGAGTTTAACTAAAAAGAAATCCTTCATTTTCAATTAAAATAAGAATTCTAACTACTCTTTTTTTTTAATATTCAGGTCTCCTTTGGATAGGAACTCTATAATAAACTTCAGCTTCAAAAAAATTTTTTTTTTTTTTATGAGAATAGAGCATCTAAAGTGATGTTTGTAAGAGCGGCAGTTACATAATTTTCAAGTCTCATCCAGACAAGTTTGGTTGGATTTACTTGTAATTGTGGAGGTACAGCCATACGTAGCAAAAGAACTCCATAACTCTTAAAGATTATATTTCTGTAATGGAGCTGGTAGCATATCCACAAATGGCAAGATGTTGCAATGCAAGCTGCATTGTTAGATTACATATGCCTTTCTTTCACGTTGTTTCTGACTGGCAAAATATTATTTTTACACCAGTGTTTGAGGAAGTAGGTTCTTGTTTTCTTTTTTCCTCTCCTTAAAAACAAAGCAAGCACCAAGCCAACCAACAACCACCCCACCCCCCAACCCAGAAAACACCACACACACACACAAAATCCCACTATGTAACTGTGTACCAGAACTAAACTAGGAATTCTGAGAGTGTAATAATTCTGAGAATGTAACAGCTAAGAAATGTATTAATGTTACTCTCCTATTTACAAATTACTTACATCCATGAAATTGTAATTAAGCACACTTCCTTTATTTATGAACGTATTTTGTGTTAGCTACATTTGCTTTGTGCTGGGTGGATTTAAAATAACCTGCAAGAGCTCTGGGGCTGGGACTGCGTCTAGTACTCAAGTAAGTACTGATTTCTTTGGTTGCAATGAGAAACAGATCACTCACTCTGATTGTCTAAAGATGATATTCATCCCAGCTCACTTTAGAATTCTGCAGCAGGTTTAGTTTCTCCTCAGGAGAGACGAGGTATTTCTAGAAATTCCTAGATCTTATCCTGAAGTAGTGTTCAAAATAAATCCTAAAAGTGCCAACTTCTCTTCATAAAGGGAGTCTAGACATATTGTAGAGTCTCAGCTTTGGGTGATGACTACAGAACATGGCTGCATCCTTTTCATTGCCATTTACTAAATTCTGATACATGCAGCTTTGAAACAGTGTTGACTTGACTTTGTTTTTGACCAGGTTCTCAATCTTTTAATGAAGATAATCCATTTTGTTTAAATATAGGAAATATTGTGAGACTTAAAAAAAAAAAAAGAAGATTCCATGTTAATTAGTGAAGGCTCTTGCAACAGGAACAGTGCCATACAGTTCTAAGGTCTGGTTTCACCTCTGGACTATCAGAATAAAAAAAAAAATTTTTTTGCCAGTTTCTATAGCTTTCTCTGCTGAAAGAATCCTTTATGACATCACTTTTTGCTGAAAAAAAATTAACTCGAGTGACATTTGAAACATTTATAGAAACACATGAAAAGAAAAAAATAGGTTTATTCAAAGTAATATGATCTATTATACATTAAAAGCAACATAATTATGGTTTATTTCCCTAGGCATCAAGATGTTTTAAACTATGACCATGTGCAAAGAGCATACTGTATGGCCATTTTTCATTTTTTTTCCTTTCATATGTTTATTAGGATTTTTGTTAAAGTGCAGGAACTGCCTAGGTAGGTAGTTAACTCAATAACAGTAAATTAATTACCAAGTATAAAAAACAAGTCAACAATACTGGCTTTCTAAATTTCATTACCTTCTTTAATATCCTCATCAGGCTGTATTTCACGTTTACCAGTGAAACCATGTTTCTCATTAAAAGATCTGTGGTTATCTACTGCATCTGATAAATAAATTAAAAATCAGAAAAGTTAATTGATTTCACAATCTTTGCCATAGTGCTTGCTTTTCATGGATTTAAGAGAAAAGATCATGACAGGCATTTTTGATACAGAAAATGACAAAGCAGCAGTTAATGTGTCACTAAATAAAATAACCTTTCTTCTGAATTTGTGCTTATGATTTATATAATTTACAGACCTAGTCCTCTACTACATAGTTGCTGAGGCTATTACTGAATTCGGAGGACGTTGTAAAGAAAATGTAAGTTTGTACATTCACATGTCATTTGGCAAGTTGTTTTTGCTACTCTATTTTTAGAAAATATTGCCAATGAGTTTGCTTAAAAGAAAACTGCAGATAGTTTTTGAAGGTTATTCATGTAAACTATCTTACATGCCCCTGGTGCCTCTTCTCTCCCCCTTGCAATAGGCATTTCCTTTATCAGTAAAAGCTGATCAATACGACCTGCAACAAAGGATGATTCCTATTATCCAGTCTTAGATAAATGGCACTTTGACAAGTACATTTCCCCCACAGTATCTTTTCCAATTCAGTTAGATCTGCTTTAGGGCAAATATACTTCCAGACATTTACAGAACCAGTTAATACATTTAAGATGCACTATTTTTTTTTTTTTTAAGGTATCCTAAGGTTATTTAAAATTAAGAGAATCATATCTGTAGTATTTGATTTATCATGTATTACTGAGACTGAAAAAATATAGGAACATTGATAATGATTGTTATTACATTAACAAGAAATAATGGCAAAAGGGCAGATATTTAAGACTGCACTTAACTTTTCTTATAATCTACATTTGTGATTCTCCATCTCTATAAACCATTGTGTTCCCATATTTTAAACACCTTGTACATTAAATCTTTTTCACATAGTGAAGTGTTAATATTTACAGTCAAGGGTTTGCATGTTTGCTTAAATTGTAAAAAAAAAAAGTAATATAAGGCAGCAAATCAATTTTCAAATAGATTTAAAGGTGAAATCTGAAATACATTGAGAAGTGCCAAAACATCACATTTTGTCATTCTTCCTTTGACATCTAAGATGCTACAAGATCTTGTAACACTTCTGGGTGGGTGGTGGTGGTGAGTATTTGTCATACAAAAATTACAGTTCAGATACACAAAGCATGACCAGATGTGCTTCTGGATATAAAGCCACACAGCACAATTCTGCTTTAGAAAAGAACAGTTATTGCCTAAGACAACTCAATTCTATATTAGGCATGTAACAAATATCTAAACAAGTATTCTCACATATGAGTTTTTTCAGTCTTGCAGGTTTAGACAAAATTGTCTTCATCAGAAAAGCAAATAGCACATTATAGCAAACTGGTTTACAAGACAAAAAAAAAAACTTCCGCATTTTGAAATAATACGAAAAAAAAGTGCTTGACTTACGTGGACCAAGTAGGTAACCAGCACTATTCAAAGTCCAGCCCCTTTTTTCTCTGGCCTTAAAGAAAAAATGCAAGTATGTTATTGCATGAATTACACTGTGCCTTCTGAAGGTAAAGCAAACAGCACCCATATGGACATTCTCGTAGGAGAAAATGTCTTCTGAAGGCTTGCAACCAAGAAATATTGTAAAAAAGTCAATAGTATTGAAGCAAATATTAATGGTGAACTGTTCCCCCCTCCCCATCTAAGTCAAGAGCTTTGCAATTGACATCCATACGATGTGAAATCTTCACACCAAGTGAAACTAAAAAAAAAAAAACACACCACACCAAAACACAAATCACACTTTGGAGACAGAAATTTTTACTTTATACTCCAACTTTACATTACCATCTGATAATCACTTTAACAAAAAGCAGTGTTTTCTTTTAATTGTTTGGATTTACATGACAGCCTCTTTATAAAAAAGTCCGTATATACACCACTTTTCCCAAGTGAGGTGGGACATCCATTCAATTTTGGTCTATAAACTAGACACTCTTTTTTCCCTTTAGTCATATTATTTGTTACAAGGGAGCTAATATTCAGAAACCTCAAATTCTTAACTAAAAGCCTGTTTACTGCCCAAAAAGGTTGGGTGCTACATATTGTCCAACCACTATATCTGAATACAGTGTATACCACTGCAATGTTTACTGTTCTTTGCCAGGTCAGACATGGATGGTGCCCAATGGATAGGACTTCTAACAGTGAAATTAATACTTACTGAAAAAACCAGTCCAAATGTTTCTGACAGGGTGGCACAAAAGATTAAGGACAGAAGCAGGAAACTAGTGCACCTCTGCATCTGGAAAGAAACCGTACTAGGGTAAATGCTCCGGGTTATCACTTCTTCCAGTTACAGAGCCCCCAGGGCATGTGAGCAATCTCGGTCGCATGTGGGCATCCCACAAGAACCTTCTTCCCATGGGGTACCGGCTTGGCACCCAAATTCCCACTGGGAGAGAGGCCGAGAGGTGAGGAGTACCTTGAGCTGGGGTGTGACGGCCTCTCCCTCGCAGCGTTTCACCCGGTGCTGGAGGCAGAGCGGCTTGTCCCACGGCTGCAGTCCTGCCGGCGAGCAGTCACTGCATGGCCACGGTGCGCGGGTGCGGCCCTGCACGCCCACCCTCTGTTCCCTCTGCTCTTTATGGGCTGCTGCACGACCGCGCGGGAGCGAGGGGGGAGGAGGGGAGCCGAGAGCCGCCCACCCCTCTCTCCTCCGCCTCCCCTGGGTCACTTCCCCCTCGCCAACTCACTGCATTAGGAAGGGCAAAAATTATAGCAATTCAATTAGAAGTATTTGGAAGCACGATGCAGGCTACAGGGAGGTAAGAGCCCCGGCAATTACCTCTGATTA